TATATATATATATATATATATATATATATTGTTTCCGACATATTGGATAACAAGGCATTTATTTATCACTTCTTTTAATTTTTATTATAAAATAATTTTTTAAGAAAGATTTATAAATTTATCTTAAATTATATAATAAAAACAAATAGTAGATAATAAATGGTTTTTTTTAAAAAAAATTTGCCTTCACTTCTCTCAGCTGTCCTTAAGAAAATAATCTCAAAACAAAAAATAAAATAAAATAAAATAAAATAAAGAGACCATCGAACTAATCCGGCCAGATTAGGAATAAAAAAACGTTTAATCAAGCCCTTGTTTTATTAAGTAATTACGGTTAGGGGACTCGGTGGGTCCCATCTGAGTCACGAGGTTGATTTTAAGGCCACAAAAAGAGGCCGATTAGTGGTGGGGGCAAAAAAGTCAATGGGAGTACCAAAGGCTAATTATGATAGAAGCAATCATTCAGCATACCGTCCAGTTGTAAATGAATGATTACATGAAAATATTAACCTCTCGGTACTATTAATTAGACTCTACTAATTCATATTGTTTCGCCTTTCACTAAAATAAATAAAATTTAGTGATATTTCGGACTTTGTTATGATGTATGAGCTCCTTTTTGTTGTACTTTTATTCAATTTCCATTTTTGGCTTCTGAATATCGTAATTAAAATTAAGTGGTTTAAGGCATATCTGGTTAAATATTAATTTAGGCTTAAGCTTTCCAAGTTAACCTCAATTAGAGAGACAAGTCTTTAAATAGCTAGCTGGAGTGTATTATTTTATGCTATATATACTTAATTACTTTTATCTAAAAACCAAACTCTAACGCAATGTAAATATATATATATATATTATTCCATTCAAAAAAATATTAATCAAATGACAAATTGTGAACAATAACATATCGATCTATAATTTATCTTAAAATGGATTTTTGTGAATCAGTGGGAAAAAAAAATCCTTATAAAAATTGTTCAGCACGGGCTAATGAATAATTACATATTCAAGTATGCTCATCTTTTGATTTGGCCCAATTCTTTTTGAGTTAAAGATATGGCCCATCGGAGCCTGTAATATTAGTATAATTTTAATAAAATAATTTCTGCTGGGACGAGGAGCTATGAATAGGAAGGTCGGCTTATTCCAAATATAAATTCAATAAATTTTATTTACATGTTAAAATAAGTAACCTCCATTGATACCCGAGATTAAAGTAAGGCACTCACTACCTCATTTGGGGCAGCTTACTTGCTGCGGTGGCATTTTGAAAAAACATCTGACATGTTTGGGTAAATTGAGTTTTGGCAGCTTATGTGTTTTCAAAACGTTGAAAACTGTATTTTCACAACGTACTTATCTAAGTATAGTGGCAGTTTTTTTATCTGTGATCTGACTTTTCTAAAAAAAATAAATATTTATAATAGTCACTACACCTAGCTTATCAGCAGATTATTTTTAATCAGTCAATCAGCAGTTTATTCATTAAGTTGCAGTTGCCTCAAATAGATCCTAAGCCAAGATAGAACTGCCGACCAACTTGATCTCCAACTCGCCAATTGACAATTTGAATCTCCATTACTAACCCGCAAGAATGAGGACTTCAGTACACAGCAATAAGGAATAACCTCGGCTACTTCACTGCATAGTATGGTATGGTCTGGCGGTTTGCAGGGTTTTATATCAAAGCAGCATGGGGTCAATACTTTCATGATTTCATATGTACTTTTATTATTTTAAATTCAATGTTGCAGTAGTATGAAAAAGAATATGCCCATAACACTGTAAATATTAAGGGGTGGCACTTAATTGATTTGTAGTCATCAATCTTTTTATTTACATAATTAGCTTCTTTTTGCAAAAAGATGTTTTGTCCTTTTCCACTTGCTTTATATTCAAGCCAAAAAACCACATGTTCTTTATCTTAAATTCTAAGTCACGCATATATGGCTTTAACTCACAAAATATTTTAGCATTTTGTTACTGCGAGAATAAGAGTATTACAAATTGAATTCTCTCATATTTCACAATTACACATAGAGCATGATCAAGAGCATAACAATTCATATATATAACCATTAACGTTGAAATAGGAAACAATGCGTCTGTTCCATTCTTCATGTGCTTCATTCATAAGGGCAGCGATCCGAAGTGATGAAGGTTCGATAACATAAATTTGATAGTGGTGGCCAAGCCATGAAATTAAGAATTAGTGGTGGCGGCCATGCTACGGGCATACATTGATGGCGGCAAATTACAGCTGATTGTGGCGGTCTGACAACAATGATCGTGATCGCGCGATGAGATTTTATAGCAGCAGCTCGATTGTGGCGAATAATAGAAGGCTCGGCGAAGATTTAAAATTTTTAAAACTTTCAAGCTCTCCTCCAAAATCATAGTGAATGATCCCATTCGAGTAAAATATATTTAGAACATTTGAGTATATTAATGATGTCAGGTTTGTTGAATTCTTTTCACCGAGGTGTTTGCTCACAAGCATGTGAACTTTGAAGATGACTTATAAATCTTTTATGCTAATTGTCTCAAAATTTTCAACTATACTAAGTGTTTGATATGGGCTGATTAATAATTTCATAATCATTATGTTTACTCATTGAATTGTTTATCTTGGAATATTTTTAATTTAACATTACAAGTTATCCGATCTCAACAATTATCAAAATTCGTGCCTCAACATGTGAATTATTTTGTGAAGTTTAAATTTTTAAAAGAAATTTCAATGTGAATTATTAAATTCAGTTTCAGCTCTCCAGTGATGGGAATGGCAGCCACAAGCGCAAAACCTGCTGTCGCATCCCTGTGAGCCCGCCAAAGCCCTACTTAGCTCACGAAATCTCGACAGGTCAAATTTATGGGCCTTGATAAGCATGCGCTGCTTGGCGGCAAAACGGCCCGAAAAGAAACCCTCAAATGAAGGCTCTTTCGACGTGCGAAGAAAGTAGGCCCAGCCCATGATAAAGTAGATCGACGTCGTAAAGAAGCAAACGGGCTCCATCACGTCCCACGACAGCTCCCAGAACGTCAATCTCATAAAAGCCGTAGTCTGAAGAACCGCAAGGCCCAGCCCAGCCCAAAGCTCCCGCCTCACCTGTGCCTTCGCTTTGCCATCAATCACAGCTTTCTCCGCCTCCATCTCTTTCAGCTCGCTCCTTCGCGGATCAGAGAAGCTCTCCTTCGCCTGAGCTAACTGCTCGGGGCGGAGGAAGACAACGTCACCGATGACGACGACGGCGCCGGAGTTATCGAGAGCGGCAGCAACGTCGTCGCTGGCAGCAACGTCGTCGCTACCGCCGGCGATTTCACGGCAGATTTGGGCGAAATCGGAATAGGAGATGAAGAGCTTCGGAATGGATCTTAGTCTCTCCCTCGCCTTCTCGATCCGTGAATATTGGAGCAATTTCATGGCGTCCTGCACCGAGATTTTAGCTCTATTTAGACTTTCGATTCCAACATCTTCTTTTTCCATTTCCATTTGGGATATCGGAGGCCCAACATCTTGTTTTTCCATTTCCATTTGGGATCTCGGAGGCAGAGAGGGAATGATGAGGCCGATCCGATCTGGAGACAACGAAGAGGATATCGTTTTCATAAGATGGTCGCCGACGGGGAAGGGGAGGTACGGAGGCGATGGGAGTCCGTCGAAGCTGGCGGCGGAATGTGAGATCCGGCGGTGAGCGGATAGGATCTTATTAGGAAGGTCCGGCAGAAGGTGTTTCCTCAGTGTGAGGGGTGGGTGGGGGCGTTGTGCGGCGAGGTCGGCGCTGTGGAGAAGACGAGAGGATAGGGTTCTGCGGAGCGCCATTTGCTTGATGGAAGCGGGAAGAGGAGAGCTTCCAAAGTGGCACCTTTTGAGGCATCTTTGGAGGCGAATTTATACAGTGGCCCCGAGGAATCTTGTCGTTGTTTCTGGTTATTATTATTGTTTTTATTATGAAAATTTTATGAATATACCTTACAATTATATTTATTTACAGGCCTGGCACTTCAATTTTAATATTTTACATTTGTATTACTAGCTTTCATATCACAAATTTATGTACGATATGTATGCATTTGAGTATTAATTATGTATGTCAATATCAATATGAGAGACTGATGATTGCATTTTGTTTGACCCACTCTTTACGAAAGAGTTCATTTATTCCTCGCAACTTTGTGTATAATTAATGAGGTATTAAAATATGATTTAAGAAAAAGATATCGCGGGAAGCTCAACTGTGATTCCTCTCAAACTTGAAGCCTACGTTAATCCCAATTCGTCTGCCTACAATATTTCAGAATGTCAACTTTGACTCTTGTGCTGCGGGGCCACATTCATGATATTATCTCTCAAAAAAAAATCCCCTTGAAAATTCTCCCTCTCTCTCCCTCTCTCTAAAATTACATTTCATGTATTCAATTCTAGATCTACTCAAACAAAGCCTTTTGGATTCCAATGTCGACCTCCATAATTCAATTTTTTTCTAAACTCTTTTCTGTAGTCTTATCCACGAGAAAGATATCAACAGCGAAAAGCATACGACAAGGTACATCCTCTTGTAAACGTTTAGTAAGAGCACCTATAACTAAAGCAAAAATATTTTGGCTTAAAGTCGATCCTTGATGTAATCCAACTAAAAAAGGAAAATTTTGATCAAACCTCCTAGTTGCTAAACCCTAAACTCCAAACACATTTTTCAAAATTGATGAAAATAAAAAAAGAAAATTAAGAGGAAAAGATACCTTCCTCGATTGTTTAGGATATGAGAGGAGCGAAATGAGAAGAAAAATGGGAGTTTTGGTGTAAATCGCGATCACATCATTGCACTCCCAACTAGCTCCTATTGTAAATGGATCATGAGGTTTCTGCGATGATAAAGGCGATGGTTTTGGATGAGACAAAGAGAGGTTGGAGCGACATGCAAGGGTTTGGGGTAGAGAAGAGGGGTTCAATGGGAGAGGAGGGTTTTAGGTAGAGAAGAGCGATGGGAGAGGGGATTAAGGCAAGACCAGGAGGGATGCGATTTTTTTTGCTATAAAGGATTTTTTCCGACGACTTTAAATCCTTTGGCTATTAATACTTTTGTCGAGGTCATTTTCTTTGCTTATTAAAAAAATATGTCGGTAGCTACCCCGCAAGATGGCGGGTTCGAAGATAACCGACGAAATATGGTCGTCGGTTAATATTTTGTTTATAATTGATGATATATTGTGTCGGTAATAATTAAAACAGACAGAAACAATATTACTATTGTAGTTATGCTATTGTAAATAATTCAGATCATAAAATCTTCACTAGTCCGTCGGAGAATAGAATATTTTTTTTCACAAATTAGGCCATCGGTTTTGATGCATTTTCCTAGTTAGTTAATTAAATGGTCCTTAATAATTTTTAATTTACCTAATCCAAGAAGAACTTAACGAATAGTTGGTCCATTTGCAGCCCTAGAAGAGCCTTCAATGTTATGAATCATTCCCAACTTCACAAAAGATATTGCATAGATAATTTTTATTAGGAACTTACTATCATTATTTTTTTATGAATTAATTGTCAACTTTGATAATATATTGAGCTTTTTAAGATGCTCTCGATGACTTTTGATTATGCTAGCAAATGAAGTCATAACTCCAGTAATTGTGGAGTAGACTTGCCAGAAGCTAGTGGTTAAAGATCAAGCGGCTCTATTATTATTATTTGCAAAGAAATTGTCAAATATTTATATTTTTTTTTCATATTTATAGTTTCAACCAATCTCTCTCTCTCTCTCTCTCTCTCTCTCTCTCTCTCTCTCTCTCTCTCTCTCTCTCTCTCTCTCTCTCTCTATATATATATATATATATATATATATAAACAACCTCTTCAATGCTATTTTGAGAGGAGCTGCATGGCTTGAAGGAGGGTGAATATGCAAACTTCCCCCATTTGAAGAAAACCGACCATAATGATCTGGATGATTCTAGTATAATCAATTTATGGTTAGAAATAAAAGACTTCATTAAAAATTAAGTAAATCATTAAAATATGATGTCCTAAATTTTTTTTTTTATTTTTAGAATTATATTCAAAATCTTCAAGAGCAAAGTGTTTTGCTTTATACTAGTGCATATTATATTGATAAAAAAAATTATAATATTCATTAAATATATATATTAAAATAATTTTGTGATTTATAACATCATATATGAATTAATATCTTTTGAATCCTTATTTATCTGGGAATCACACCAAAAGAAATATAAGGAGAGATGAAGAGAGAGAGAATAAACATAAATTTATCATGATTAATAATGTTTTGTTCATCAAATGATTCTCTTGTTCATAGAAGAGATGATACATAATAATGATATTAGAATTTTATTTCGGCTTTGAAAGGTCAACATTGGGGTATTTTTGGTTTTTGCATGCATTGACTTATGTCTAACTACTTATTGGTTTTGTCGGCTGACCTCAGTCGGCTTCAAATTGACATAATCAATCAGCTCGATCAACTGAGATTGATCAATATGAATCAGTCGACTGATATGCATGATGACACTTAATCCTTAACAAGAAACTTTTGGGGCATCCCTCGGATGGTCAACCAGATCCTTGAATGTGTGATGAAAGAAAGTAGCAGGAGGGTTGACTATTACAACCGACCAGCTTTCCTATAACAATCAACTCGAATGTTCTTTCTCCTCGCATCAGACCAATTGGTTTGGGCTTGGGTTGACTGGTCATTTGTTTGTCTGCCTTGTGGCACTATCATTTTTGTTTTTGTTGGCTTAGCTCAGACAACTTCAATTAGTTGGACAAGTAAGCCTTACCAACTGGCACTGGGCCCACTTTCGTCGTACTCCTCCCTTCTAGACCGTTAAATCTTCTTATGATCAGCACGGACAATTTTTTTATGTGCATATTTGAGTTTGTCAATTCTCTGACTTCATGAAAGTGATGTTGCAATAAGAATAAGAGAATTTTTTACAACAGTAGATTACATTTTTCACTAATTAATGATTCAATTATTGAATTATCTGATTTTCACATTTGATTCTTATCCATAATACATGATGAGACTCCTTCCCACTCCTTATTTTCTTCAAGACTCCCATCATTTGAATCGGTTGGCTTCTAGTTGTTGTAATATAGAACATTTCAAACTCTTGGGTGACATCCCAAACAAACATCTGATCTATTTTGACTCCAAGATAACTAAAGGATGGGACTGCCCGGGAGGCAAAAGGAAAAATAAAGTCGTGCACTTCCACTGTCGGAACATGAAAGATTGTTTGATTTGTTCCTCAGTAATAAGTAGAGGAATATTCGGTTGATTGGGCTGACCGTCAATCCTACTGCTCGACCTTTTACTACAGTGCAAAGGCCAACCGATCGAACAAGCTGCATAAGAGACTGTTGATGGTCTCCCATTGCACGGTGAGGGTGTTGTGTTGATTACAATGTTTGAGTTGGATTGGCTCTTGGATGCGATGAGACTCTATCTTATTTGTTTGAAAAAATATTTTTTTGTGAAGTACTATTGTTTTATGTTGTCTCTCGGTGTAGATGACTCGGTTTTGAGAGGCCTGAGTGAGGATCCAACCCTGGCTGGTATTGAAAAGAATCATGAGATGACAAAGGAGATGATTGTTAAATGTACATCCAAAAATTACCTGCACAGATCTCTAAGCAATCTGACAGTTATATCAAATGCTAGTGTTCATGAAGCTGCCAACTGGAAAGTTTGTGACCGACCGCCCATCCTAAGGGTGGTTGATTGAAGACCTATCTTGATCGGCCGAAAGTAGATGCCTCCCGCAAATAAGCCAAGGTCTGAATTCCTCAACAACCTCACAAGTATCATTGTACACTCTTTTAACACTGCCATCAAAAAGACCAAGATACAAGCTAGTCGACCGGCCACATTAGTGCCAACTGGGTATCGCGCTCAAAGTTGCCAGGCTCCCCAGGGTGAAACCTTCCCGACATTCAGGTAACATAGCCGACCGACACTAGCTTGGTCGACTGATTCAATGAACCACCAGGTGAAGGGTCTTGGAATATCAAAAAATACCTAAATCAGTTATAAATACGAAAAGACACGACAAAAGATAATAATATCTTGTAACCCTCTCGTTAAAACAGGGACATATATGCAAGTTTCTACTTTGTGATCCTCTATCCTCTATGGATAGGGGGTAAAGTGCATGTGAAAGGGGATTTTTAGTTCTTCTCTCTAAACTCATACTCTGTAGGGGGAATTTTCTCTTTTTCTCTCTTGTAACCTCTATTTGGATATATAAATTAGATCATAGAGCCTAGGAATACCACATTTCGCCCCTACAGGGCAAGTCAGTGCGTGTTCTTTTTATTTCCTTTTGAGCTCTTTATCTTCCTTTATTTCTATTTTCTCTAGTTCTTATCGCTCCGGTCGTTGGGCATACATCACAGGAAAAATTTGGATTCTACATTAAGTGATTATAATCTAGAGATAGTAAGTGGATGGCAACAATTGAGTAGTGAAAGTAGGGTAACCTTAGCATAGTAATGATGGTATAGCAATAAAGATGGTGGTTAGGCAACATAAATACCCTTAGACGCGGTCATTAGACACAACTATAATTTTCCTTAAATCTGTAAGATCTTTCCAATTTCAAGTCTTGCCCTCCTTCTATTTAAAAAATAGGAATATATATATATA